TATATACATATATTTATAGATTATATATGCACAGAATTATATAATAGAGATATAGGTTATTATTATATTGGTGATACAAATTTTATCGACAACTTGTGTATAATATACCAATTAATTCATGATAGTAAAGTTGAAATATGTGCTTATCAATTGCAAACATAAAAAATAAAGATATATGTGTATCTATGTATAATATGTTTCAGGTTTTTTTATTATTTCAATTACAAATTTTTTAATAATGTTCAGTTGACTTTTAAGGAACATAGTTCGCGGTAAATGATTGAATATCAGAATAAAAATGAGAGAATAAAAAGCATTTTTTAAAAAGTAATTATTTGAAATTACAATTATTGCTATATATTGTCGGGTTGCAAGCATTTCCCGTGGTCTTTGGAGAAAGTACGGTGACTATGTTAGCCTTGCATCTCGGCCATCGTGCCACTTAAGAGAAGAAGTTGCTGGTTTCTTGCCGGCAATGACAGATGATAAGCTTGTACGTTCTCATCGCTTCTTTTTATCGATCGGATATTTTTTAGAAAAAATATAAAATGTTATCTCAATTAATTGTTGTAATAGCGTTTTACATATAATTTATAACAATATTTCGCATTATATATATAAAGTGTTACAAAAGATAATTGCATAATTTTTAATTGTGTTGTCTATTATTTTATTGATTAAGTTTTTGTAAAAATAGTTTTAAAATTTATTACATGTGTGTATGTATATGTGATATAATATATTACTATACATATTTCCAATTTAATATTTATTGTCAGTATTATAGAAGTAATATACTCAAAAAGTAAATATCCTTCTAGCATAAATAATAGCTTCTTTTGCAAGAGATATTTATGATGCAATGAATATCGCATAAATTTTAAACATTCTATAGCTGTCTTTAGTTTTATATGTAATGGAAAGAATACTCACTTAGATCGTTCTAACAATTATGATCAATGAGGTAAATAGTTCTTGTTATAATAGTTTTTTAGAACGTACGTTATTATATATGTACTTTTTAAGATTACAGATGTATGTATATATGTATAGAATTTCTTTGGATTAAAAATTGTTAATTAATACTCATTTAAATGAGCAAAGTATTAGCATCTCAGAAAGGATATCATTTGTCTGTTTTTCGCAATTCGTCTTTATGCAATATACGCTATTCCGCTTACAATTATAACGTAATTATTCATTCGTGCACGCCTCTTTAATGCTCGGAATACGTAAATGTAGTTTTACATAATTTTCACATATGTTGCAGTGATCCCTTCTCTGACTTTAAGCGAATAATACAGAAATTCTCACGGCTTCTAATATAATTGTTACACAATAACAACTAGCATGGATGATTTCCGTATGTACTGCGAAGCTATTTTTAGCGATGTGTGTGATAAGTAAAATATTTTGATAGCTTTATAGCTACACACACACATTGTAAATTTGATGTTCTGTACAACTAAAAATTAAGAATTTTGTATTTAATAATTATATTAAAAATTAATTATGTTACACAATAACAACTAGCATGGATGATTTCCGTATGTACTGCGAAGCTATTTTTAGCGTCCAACAAACTAAGTAACGCGTATAGCTTGACTTTTCAGATGCTGGAATGGATGTGTGCAAAGCATAATTATTTACTTATTATTTTTGGTAATAATATTTTTATGATGAAATAGATAATAATCTTATAATATGTGTTGTGTGTGTGTTTATTATGCTTTGCATGCTCTCATGTTTTATCACGTTATTTAAGGGAGCGAAGATGCGAAAGTAAAAGTACATAAAAGCAAAAATAATTTTTATCTTAATATTGAACAAATATGTATCTAATTATAACAGATCCTTTTAAAGTGCAATGTGTTTACAGTATTAAATTTGTAATTACTATCTGACCAAATTACATATTTTCTATTTAAATATAATTTAAAGTCATAGAAACATATGTGAATCAAATTTATATGTAAAATCATATTACAAATCTTTATTACAAAATTGTAATGTGTTTGTTGCAGTTAAATTTTCCGAGATCTTAAGCGCGCAATATATTATTATCTTTACATAATTTGATATTATGCTGTAAGTTTCTTTTCACTATAATCATAAACGTCATGATTAATTTGGGAATAGAGAAACAAAATATTAATCGCAAAAGCCGCGAAGTCACTTTCTCCGATTTTAGTCAACTCGTTCTGTTTTAGATGCTATTCGCGCTGTTCTGCGTTCTATTGATTGGACAACATGTACAAGCGGTAGTCAACAAGGCGACCTCGCAAATACCATTAACCAAGGAAGAAGAGAAATCTACCAAGGCCAAAGCCGATGATAGAATAAGTAATACTTTCGATTCTCCGTCTGACGACTATGGGCCACCGTTAGGATCAAGTTTTAATGGGCCAGCGCCGATATACGGACCTCCGGAGTTAGTCGGCAACCTTGGATCAACGCCCATTTATTCACCACCACCGCCGGAATTGCCGCCACCTGTATTTGGACCGCCGGCCGTTTCATACGGGCCACCACGTATTATCAAGCCGCAATACGGTCCACCGAAACAAAGTTTCGGTTTGGCAATATCCTCCTTTGTTTCGAAGCCTACTTACGGCCCGCCAAAGCTCCATTACGGACCGCCGAAACAACATTTTACGCCGCCGTCGGCTTCGTTCTCGTCGTTTATATCACCGAAACCTCAATACGGTCTGCCATTGAAGTTCATTAGTACATCGAGCCAGCAATATATATCGCCGTTACCGGCGAATCAGCACGGGCCGTCCAAGCCCGGCCACGGACCACCTATTCCTATATCGCTTGAGACTTACGGTCCGCCGCCTCCAAAATTAGCTATTCAGTTTAATCCTCTGCCCAATGACGAGTACGGTCCACCGCCGCCGCCCGTATCCGCGCCGCAACCGCAATACGGTCCGCCGGCTGGTGATTTATACGGACCTCCACCACCAGCACCTCCGCCAGGAGTTCCAGCGCCACCCACACCACCTGACATAAAGTACGATGGATGGCAGCCTATTGCCGGAGTGGCCACCTCCCCTAATCAAAGTGGTCCACTGACAGATACATATGCTTCTCCCCTCGAAGCAAAGCATAATTACATCGAAAGTTCATCTTCTTCGGGATCGCAATTATCTCACGCTTCCCTGAGCGTTTCGACGAATTCAAATGTGCCTAGCGATTCTTACGGGATGCCGTTAAATAATCCGGAGGATCACGATTTGAAGACGTCTGTGCATGAATCCTCGGCTTCCTCGGAGAGCAATGGATTACCGCCGCCGCTGTTACCGCAACACGAACCCCTACACAATAATCAAGGCCCAGGCGCTACGACTAGTCAATCCGATCATCAGTTCGGTCGGCAACAATTGAATTTACAGCACGGAACGCCAAACATCGAACCTTTATCCATCATAAAAACAGTAGGCTTTGAACTATTACCCACAACGGGCGCTTTGAATGCGGATCTCTCAGGTTTATCGTTATCAGGTGGTACTACTTCCGACGTCTCGTCGTTCAATCATATCTCGAATTCGATTAATGCCGATTCCGCGTCGCTTCACGCGGAGTTGACGTCAAACGATGACGGATCTCACACTGCTGCTTTAAGCAATGGCGGAGATTCTCACGGATTTCAGAATATAGAGAACGATCTGTCCTTGCAGCAGCTACCGCAACAGACGCCATCGAATGATTACGGCCCGCCTTTAACAACCGCGACTTTTGGAAAATCCGCTGACTTTATATCAGGGACATCCTTGCTTTCTCCTCCGCCTTTAGATTCTTACGGCGCACCACCTCTGTCTTCTTACTCATTTACTGGACCTTACCCAGCAGCGCAAGGAGGACGAGGTGGACAACTGTTTTCGTCATTCGGAATATTCGGAAGCTCTTTTAACAAACAAAATCTGCACCATCATAGACTTCATGGTCCATTTAGGCCACCACCCATTCTCCCCGGTTCTTTGATACCACCGCGAAACCGGGAACCGATCAAATTCAGAGAACCGATACCAACAGGGCTTTTATCAAATATTAATCGATACTTACCGCCGCCTACAAAACAGCAGTTGCCGAACGTCCACGCGCCGGTATCTTTTCGCCATACACAGGGCTCGAACAATTTATTCTCTGGCTCTTTCGCATCATCTGGCTCGTTTAACGTACATAATTTAAATTCTCCGATTGCCGCACCGCATGTTCAATACGGAACGCCGTTATCGTTCACTGATTTCAACACACCAGCGCCTCATTTAACTTATGGAGCGCCTAACTTTGGCCCACCGACCTCTTTCATTTCAACGTCTTCCGGATTTGGCAGCAATCTCTACAGCGGAATTAATAACGTGCTGACAACGACATATGGCACGCCTATGGTAAACGCACCGTTATCAATCGGTGGCGGTCACGATTGTAATTCCTTGCAGCCGCTTTTGCCTGTGAACGGAGCGTTACATTTAAACAAAGGATTGTCCGTGAGCGGAGAGTTACCTTTAAGCAGTAGTTTAACTTCAAACGGAGAATCGCATTTTAACGGAGATCTGCACTTGAGTGGAGGCTTATCTTTAGGCAGTAAAGTGCCCTCGGGCGAGAGGCCAGCATCGTTGGATGCTGGATTACCTGCGCATGGAGGCGTGCATTCTGGCGGCAACTTGCAACTCGGTTCTGAAAATGTGGGGATTTCTGGGGGAAACGTAGAAACCCCCGGTCCAGTTTTTACCAATTCTCTGTCTACGAGCTTTGCGAACTCCGCGGGAAGCGATTTATCTGACAATAATCATCAAAATCCCATTTTTACGGGCAATTTATTGCCGCTTATTAAGCCGCTTGATAATTTCCTGGGAGGTCCGCCGGTAAATACACTAGATTTACAACATAATGAACAACAGAAAACAAATCTCAAGGATAGTTACGGCAATCCCGTAGGATTAACTTTCGATTCGTCCAACGAAGCGAGTGACACCAGAACTGTTCACGCATCTACTACGGATGTTTCGAACGAGCTCCCTGCGCATCCGTCTAGTCAGTCTCATAGCTATTCCGCGGCAACGTTTGAACATGGCTCGGGAATATCGGCTGCAGCGCTGACAGCAAGCTTGACTGCGCAGACCTTCGGCCAGCAAAAGAATCTCGAATTAAACGAGGTGGATGCTAGTCAATTTTTGAAATCGAGCGAGGGTAGCGAGGCATTGTCTCTGGCGCAGCGGCTGACCGCTGACAATGCCGACGGTTTTGAGATTCACGGTTCCAAGGGCACGTACAGATTGCAGATACAACCAGCAGACGGAGGCTTGGGCACCGAGAACTCGGATGGCAGCATCAGACACGATCAGGTATTATCTAATGGCCTACTTCAAGATATATTGGCCGCTATAGAACAACCGGAAAATGGTGCTATACAACTACAAGGTTCGCCACAAGTTCAGCAATTGGAAAAAGTTTTCGGTCCTGATCTGCCGCAAGAAACTGGTATCATTAATGGCCATTTTATTACCGTAGATAGTCAAGGACAAAACAACAGATTACAAAATCAAGTCGAGAAAGTTAGCGAGAAAAGAGAAGACGTTAAATACTCAAAAAATCAGCCATCAATCGCTTTATTCTATGATACTAAATATGGAGAAACGAAAAAGGAAATCAGATCTGTGTCAAAAAGCGAGATGCAGACCGCGAAGGCGAATGAACAAAATAACAGTCAAACAAAATCCTCTTTAATCTCTAAATCGTAATAAGTGCCAATGTAAAAATATCTAATAATATTTTTAATAATAGTCTTGATCGCTCTGATTCATCTCGCAAAGACTTTTCGATTTCCGACAAGAAAAGATATTGCTGTTAACGTGATGCCATTTATTTTCTTTGCTTGCGGTTGATCAATAAAATATTTCGGTGAGAGTTTTTAAATCTACGATGTTCACAATAGCAAGATATTTAAAGCGTTACATATTTTTCAGTAATATTTCTGGTGAACGTATAGCCGCGGGTATGACCGATTATATTTCAACATATTAAAAAATTTATCTTCAAATAGATTGCAATAAAATTGTTTTGCAATGTGACAAAACATTGCAAAACAGTGCAAGTTGAACAGTGCAAGCACTGCAAACAGTGCTGGTTGAAACTTTCTAACAATTTGTTTTGTTACTTTATTTTTAAAAATTGTTCAAACGAAGATCTAAGATTATGCAATTTCTTGGTACGCTTAAAAAATGTTAAAAAAAGCTTGATCAGCTGAAAACTAGAATTAGAAGGCATAAACCGCGCAATGAAAGTTTATGTAATCTTTTTTTTTTCTTATATTCTCGCAAGCAAGCGAAAGTAATAATTACTTGTTGGCTAACGTATAGATAACAAGTTATTAAACGAATCATCTGCTTGCTCAAGAATTTTTCATCTTTTACCAGAATTACGAGAGTGATTATAGAAAGAGACGCGAGTATCGGCACATTTTTATCACGTAAGAAGATTTTGCATTCTTAAATAATGATCCTGTTATTAGGTCGAATGTTTACTGAGATCCGACTAAACATTCAGAACGCTTCAATTTTTCCATGTCCTCGCGTCAGCGGCTTATCTTATCTTCGTCCATGGAAACTCGGCTCGATGATCCTTTCGAAAACGAAGTATAAGGAAATTATTCAATATCAAGATTTTTGACGGGATAGTCGATGCCACCACTTTCAGTTTAATTCTACGAAAGTGGCAAGTTAGCATTCGCTGCTCTTGTCACGATATATAAAACGTTAGGCACGGTACGAGGCATTACGCGCGTTTATTAATACTCATGTAGGTCAATAGGTTACGGCACCACTCTCATGCGGAATACATGTAGCTGGCGATATGGCATATCCGCGTAAAATCGCTTGGTCGTTTTCCGGTCGGTAGAACGTGATCGACAGCCACGTTATCTTTCGCGGTTTCAACCTTTGCTGAGGTGAAAGTTCAAAACCTCATTTAATGATCCGGTGAAACAGTACTGAGCTTCTATGAGAATTTCTTTCCAAGTGAAACGCATTGCTCGTTTCTGCGGATGTCCAAGCGCGTTTACGTTCGGTTTTGCATGCCTTTATCACAATAACCATATGGATGCGGATACGTTTAGTCTATTATTACGTGTGTGCGAAAAAAATAGAACAAAAATGCGTGGCCGTACGCATGCTTGGGCTTGTATGTACATCGGCGGAAATGCGGAACAACCACGGAAATGTCGATATTATCAAGCACGAGAAACCGTAAGCAACGAACGTTATTCCCTTCCGCCGCGCATATTAACGATCTTTATGCGACTTACGATTCGCAGTTTTGCGCGTAAGTTGAAAATGAGTATCCGTATCGTGAAAGTGCGCGGCGCCGTTAAAATCCCGAGTAATCTCAAAGCTCTTGCATTTTTATGATTTTCCCTGGCAAACGGTTATGCATAACTTGGTGTATTGCAGATACGTAAAATAAGTAGAGCGTATACGTTTAAGGGAGAGACGCTCATTGTTACGAAGTACGCAGTAACGATACTGCCAAGCCATAAAACGCATCCACTTGCTCCTAACCCATATCCACCTACTTTTTTAAGGATTTTAATTTATTATTTTATATACGCGAAGAGTTTTACGTGTGTGTGTGTATGGGCACTTAGCTTATATCCGACGAGCAATCGATGCTATCACTCGCCGGATATAACGATCTTACTAGCTTGTACATTTAATATATGCTCCGCATGTAAATATATGAATACTGTGTACATAGTGCTCAATTTTTATTTCCGCTCTCTCCTTGTTGCCTATATCCTTACATTAATTTATTATATTACAATTGGATATGAATATGATAATAAAAAACATTGTGCAAATGCAATATCTATGTCAATATGTGTTATTTTTTCTCTATGCATGTTTCTTTTTTTTTATATTATACGATCTATTTTTTATTTGCGGCGATGCATTATACCAAGTCGTAAATATTAACATTAGTAAGTATTAGTGTAAGATATTACACACAGAAACACGTTGTTTTCGAGTCCATTTGCAGAGATTGGCCCGCCGTAATGTGGATTACAAGTTTGAGCATCCGAAAGTGTTTGTCTCGAGAAAGTACTCGGCTAAATCGGCGGTCGCCTAAATACCGCGAATTCTGGCACGACGGAGAAACGCAAACGTATGAGAGAATTAGGTTTCCTCCACTAAGTAGAATTACGGTTATGTAAATGAAACACCATTGCCTCGTCTTTGGTTAGAACGGTTAGCGCCCAGTGCTAAAATCGTTATTCGCAGATTTTCTACGCGGATCCACACACCGTCAGTATTCATCGACTTCTTTCTCCACTCTCTGTCTCTGCATTGTTTCACATGTTTTCCTTCGTTTCCTTTCAACTACTTACTACTTCGCATTACTAGACAATATGATCATGAAACTTCCGGTGTAATCTGACGCTATGGGAATATTCACACGTTTTCTGCCGTAAAGACTAGCTTGCCCGCGTTAAATCAGTGAGTTGCACTGAATAAACTGATTCACGGTGATACCCTAGATATCATTCTTTTTTTAGTTGATTTTAAATGCATGATATCAATAAGTCTAGTTCAAAATATGTGACAAAACGAGTATTGCAGATCTTACTCAATTTTATCTCTCTCTTTTCTTTTTTTATATAAAAATTTTCATGTAAAAACTTTTTAGCTTGAATATTTATAAACTCTAAAACATTTATAATAAAAGATTTGCTTTCGAATAGTTTACTTTATTTTATTTACAATTATAGAATATTATATACACTTGTTACAGTTATCTGAATAAAATAATTGTATTTAACATTTATAAGAAGAGAAAAAGAGGGAAAACAAATTAAAAATTACGGGGAATATACTATATAAAAATTGTTTATGTCGCCGCATTTAAAAGAAGTAGTTTTGTGATCAAATATATTATAAGATTAAAAGAGATAATATCATGAATATAACAAGGCTATCTCGTTTCATGTTAAAAAGATTACACGTTAGGTATCGAGGAACGAATATATTTGAGCGGGTGATAATAATTTCCGAAACTCGTTAAAATTCATCAAACCTGCATGAGACATTACAACGTTTGCTATGGGGAAAATAGTTGATGTCTACAAAGACGAAGCGAATTTTATTAGCGCTCAGGCGATCCCCTCGAAGGCGCGTAACGACTTCCTTCTGGTGCAATTTTAATCGTACGTCGTACCGCGTGGAGTTGCCGGTCCTTCGAGACTAGCTTCGGTGACGAGGAGGGATTGAATGGGATCTCGAAGGAAGGTTTCAAGGGTTAGCCAGCGGGAACGTATGCATTTTTCGCGGAGCTCGGAAGTGCTTTATTTCCATACTGACGTCGTATCCGTACACACCGACAGTCATACTGATCTCAGGAGGCACGTTGTTGCCTCATGGGCGGTATATACAGAATATAAGGCGAGCCGACAACCGGAGTCTCCGATGTATCGTTGCTCGTATGCCCACCGTCACTCCATCGCCAAAGGCAAAATTGTCGTTCCTGTGAATAGCAAATAGTTGCTAAAAGTAAGACTGCCAAAAAACCAAACGAGATTATAGGAAACGATTGGATGATAACAATATTTAAATTATCCCGATACTATAAAAATTAGTTTGTTCTTGTCATTGACTTGATTTAATTAAAATATTATTTTTATGCGCGCGGGCAACGCTACTAATTCTCTTTTTATATTAAGCAAGAAAGCATAGTTGCTCGTTTATCTCTCGCAATTTGGTACATGTGATCACGGAAACAATACGTAACGTGTCATTATAACCGCTAAATTAGAGTCGTTCTCACATATTATGTTTTTTTCCTGTACTCGCATCGTAATAAAGTGGGTTTCTGGTACGCTTTTTTATTATCACGCGACTATAATTATCACGAGAAGTAGTGTGACTAATATTACCTTGTTATTATTTAGCTGACAAATATAAAGGCAATTTCTTTTAAATTTGATTAAAATTTATTTCTTTTTATGAGATGTTTAAAACTTATTTTAAAAAATTATTACAATTAACTTTTATAATAACATTCTTAAACAAAGGTTTTAAAAAATTTGAAATAAAGAAAATTATTTTATATTGACCAAACAATCTGTAGTTAAAAAAGACATGGCAATTTTAAAATATCTTGCATATTATTTTTTAAAATTGTTAATATACTTTCTCAACCTATTTTAGAAATATTTGTTCATACATATGTTTTTATATATATTTTTTATTTGTTGATACTGAAAGCTGTAAATTTTAATATTTACTAGGGAAAATGTAGCAATCGCTAGATATAAAAATATTAGATGAAACGCGATTTTATTTATATTGCATGTGCTATTTTATAATCTATCTTATGAAAAAGAGCATTTCAAATTTATAGTGAGAAGAGAAAGGTGATGGGCAATATATATCCAAAAGATCTCGATGATTTCTTGCAAGTAATTTGACTTTCCCGGAAGTCATATGATAAAAAAAGAAAATTATAATAAGACATTTAAAATAAAGAAGTATTCGAGATCCTCTTTTGTAAATGAAAAAGGAGATGATTTCAATATTAATAATAGTCTCATATTAAATCTTAATTAATATTACCATTATTAATATTAATGTGTTGCTAGTGAAAGTCTTCATGTGATGTGCAGAATTCAGATTGAACAAAAACGAGATATTAACTTTTGTCTGTAGACTTTTCTAAGCTAATTATTATTATTTGTAGATTAGAAATTATA